TGATATTGTCATAAAATAAATATTTATTTCCTCAATGATAACAATATTAGATATAGGCCTTTCTATCTATTATAGTTAACATTATGTCATAGTTCTATATTTAGCGAACCAGTATTGTAGCGAAATAGTATTGAGGTTTTCAAAATGTCAACTAAACGTTGAAGACAAGAGGTAGTGTAAATATTACTACAGTATTAGCTATACTTAGCTAAGTGTTCATTTGACAAACACGAATCGGTCGGTTATCATCCAGAGTGTAAGAACAGTTCGGTGCATAACCAAGCATGCGCAATTTAAATTAGGCCGGAGCCAAGTCCGTAAAACGATGTAACATTATTAAAAAGATAAGATAAACTTGATTGTCATAATTAAAAAATGTGAACATGTATTATATTAATTTGTATTATACTTTTTTCAAATGTTGAATCGGCACTATAAATATTATAACCAATAAACGAACAGCTATTTATTTCCTTTGAATATTATGTAACAACTTCAATTAATTACACATAATTTCCTACCTGCCTTCTCAGTTAATTCAAACATTTACATTACTAGGGGTATGGTTAATTATAGCCCTACAATGTAGTAGGTTGGTACGTGGTCATATCCTTGTGACACAGAATTGTCAGCACTAGGCCTATCTTCTATCTTACCTAATTTGAAGAAAGTGCTTCACAGTGCTCCTTTTAGAAAAGTTTATTTTTAATAATGATATCACAGGTGCTACGAACAGTTATAAATAAGTCTTTTTATGCGTTTTTAATTTGTGTACTGTACTTACTACTTAAATTACATCGAGCATGGTTGTGTAAACACTAATAATTCCCATGTAAAAACCATCACAATTTAGTACACCATGTATAAAAATATGGTTTTTGAGGTAAAACCATTGATCGTTCCTGTGAAAACCAACCAGGTAAGCGGTTTTACCTCGAAAACCATATTTTTACAAATAGTGTACCGAAGGTTTAATTGCGTTGTTACTGATACTCGCTAAGCAAAAATATTCATACTAGAAATAGGTGAATTTGGGTAACCTCTTGAATATTGATTTCTTACAAGGATATGAAATGTGCTTTTTTTTTGTAAGACTTTAGATAGACGGAGTTCCAGTAGCTAATTTTGTCTTATTCAGTGAAACCTATTAAAAATATATATCAATTTTGGCACCATATTATCTATTTGCATGGCGTTCCATACTACATGTTTTCTGGGATTAGTATCCAAAATCCAAATTCATATGCAACAACATAACAAGTTTACGCTGGCGGCACTCTCCGAAATTAGCTAATACTAAGAAAAATCAATAAATTAGGGACTTGTGGCAAGTCTAGACTTTAGACAATAGTTACATCAAATTATTATATAGACAAAGTGTAGACACACAACGGAAATTAATCAGCAATATCATATTTCTAATAAAAAATCTGTATTTCAGGATATAGCAAACATACTGTTTCCTGTACACAACATTACAGTACTTTCATTATGTAATCAAATACTTATGGTATCTATAAATACACTAAACGATTTTAATCAGGCTTTGATGACGCAGTGCATCGTCCAACTACCAACAGACTTGGAAAGAAGTCAGATATGTCTGAATTGAAGCACACACTATCTGATTATTTAAACATTGTAAATCTGGCAGAATCACATGTATGTTTACCCAACAATCACTATTATCTTTATGCAAGATAAACGACAACTTCCTTAGCAATCTACGAGAGACACTACTGCACCCACTCTGACTCGCCACCTTCATCATGATAACGCTTCATTCTCCCATCTCAAACTTACAGCTCTTACTTTAAAGTCAGGCTCCGGAGAAAACAAAAGATTTCGAGATATGTTGTACAACTGATTTTTTTTTTATGGCTACTAAGACCAAAAAAGGTAGTCGACGAAAAACTTGGGAACGGTTAATGAGATAGATTTTTGACTATTTAAAAACTGGGGGAAAAGGGGCGTAACCACTCCCTTTTCACACCAGTTCTTGATTTTAGGTTTTGAGAATGATCTGTTGCATGCAGTAGAAAAGGGACACACTTTTCAGACTTATATTCAGTGTATTTCACACGGAAGAAATTCAAATCCACATAGGGCCTAGACCTAGATATATTACTGAGGAATAGGCAAGGGGTTAAAACTGTTCTCACTGGCAAAGGTTTTGTAAAAGGTACAATAGTTACAGTAGCGTCAGGATCGTTACACGGCATGACAAAAGTGCCAAATTTGGTACAGATATTAGTACGGGCATACAGTTTTGAAAACCTCCGGAACCAAAAAATAATATCTTATTTTGGGGGTAAAAAAATCGCATTTTGAGAAAAAATATGGTTTTCAATATTTTGGTATTTTCGACTATTATAGTGCAAGACCTACCTGTACAAATAGGTTTATGTAAGATTCTGATATATTATTGACCAGCGAGGTATAATACTGTATTGATTAAAATGTATTTTTACATACAGAGCATATCAGTATAAATGTCAACAAATCTTTTTTGTACCAAAAATGGTCTTTTAACCCAAAAATGGGCACAATTGGGATTTTTTAAACTGTTATGTCAGATTCTGACATTATTGATTAGTGAGGTATAGGCCTATGATATTGGTGAAAATATATGTTTACATGCAGAGCATATTAGTTATAATTTAAATGTCAACAAATCTATATTTTTTAACAAAAAACCATATTTTTGGACTAAAAAAATGGCCAAAAATTTGGGTTTTTCTTAAAACCTTTGTGAGATGGTGACATTTTATCGACCTGTGAGGTACACTATTGATTAGAATATATTTTACATGCAAAACATACCAGTTACAGTCTAAATGTAAAAAAATCTATTTTTTTACCAAAAAAGTGTCAAAAAATTGGGTGTTTCTTGATTTTCTTAAAAAGCATGTTGATAAAAAGTATCTCCACCAAGAATTAAAGTTTTGTCATCCATGTAACGATTTTTCCAAATTTTTACGTTAAGGTACTGTACTACAACATTCTGGCAGCCAATGACGTTTTGGAAGAAGGCAAAATTCTTGCAATTAGTGACAAAGATGCCAAGAATCGGGGAGGTATAAATGACTCCCTGCAGAGAATGGATATCCAAGTGTCACTGAACTTGGAGTTGGCATAAAGGTAGAAACTTCAATGATAACTTTGACATACTGTACTTTGACATACTGAGAATGATAAAGAATAATATGCCAAATACATTTGATAAGAATGTGATGAATCTTAAGATATTTTCTTCATGATGTGAGTTACTGTATTTAAATATGCTATCCTAATTGCTGTATTGTTTCAATGAGAATCTACCAACACATGTCTGGCACCACGGTCAGTGGTGGCGCTAGCGGGGGGGGGGGACGGGACTAACAAATATATAAAAATAGGCCCCATGCCAAGCCAACACATGTCTGTCACAATCAGAGAGTGTCATTTCTGGCCATCCAGAGATTCCTATTCTTAAAATAATCTCATTTGGGAGGGGAACACCCTCCCAAAACCCTTCCGAGGCTCGGGCCTACGAGCCCAAGTCCCCCTGTCGGACAGCTCAGCCCCCCAGAAATATATCCTAGAGCCGCCACTGACCACAGCAATCTAAGACCTATCCGGAATTTTTTCATCAAACTCAACAACTGACCAATCAGACCTGGGCCAGGAAAATGCACTGTCCCACAAATGCACGTATTTATACGTTTACGCTGTCTTTATGTTGGAAGTTAGTAACAATATCCAAGGGGCGGAGCTTAGCGACGGAACGGTTTATTATAACAAAGGTTGACAAAAAAATTACAGGACGAAGTACAGTAAATATTCAATAAGAAGAAACTTCTTAGCATTTGTTGTATTTATTGCATTCATGTGAAAAAGCATTTCAGATATGAACATTTGATAGGTGCAGTAAATATTACACAAATATACTATACTAGATTACATAATCAATAACTACATGGGTCAATTACCCTATAAACTTCACTTAATATGAAGGGGATGGGGGAAGGGAGGTAGAGAAGCCCCCCCCCCAACATCTCAACATCATAACAATTTCATTTAACCCCTGAATACACACCCTACCTTAAATTCAAATTAGTGCATGATTAGTGTTATATTATTAAGAATTATTCTTAATGAATCACTTTTATTCAATTATTTTCCAAAAGAAAGTGACTACTCCATACTGGATGGACATTTTAGTAAGTCTCAATATGAAGCTTATACCCTATTCAGGTTGCAATCCATTGCAATCGGTTGCTATCCAAAACCGATTACTCTGGATTGCAACCTATGAGCGCATTCAGACCAAATCAGACACTAACACCTTTCTATTGGAATGGGAGGTGAAACAGTACAAGGCCTCCAGTGGCTAGACCTATGTTGACTAACGTCAGCCAATCAGTGCCTGTGGAATTCATTGCGATCAGATTCCGTGGTAATAAGAAGTAATAAAAATTGTATCATCCAATTGCAACAGGTAACAATTGCGATATCGATTACTTATCAACTACTATTGGTGAGCTTTCATACATGATTGTGGATTAGGATTGGGTGCGATTGAGTGTCGCAACTGCTACAAACGATCACAATGCAACGCTAGTCAGAATAGGTATTAGGGACTGTTAAAAAAAACCCAGGTACCGTAGAGGATTTGAACCCAGGACCCTGATGTTTGGAAGGCAAGCACCAACCATCAAGCTAAAACTACACTCCCATTCTACATTTAAAAAAAAAAAATGAATAACATAAATATAACAAAATATTAAGTCAGTAATGATAAATAAAATAAATAAATAAATAAATAAATGATAAAATAAGCACCTCATTAGAATTTTTTTAAATACTTTTAAAATATTTTATTACTATCAGAAATTTACTAAAATGACCAACAATATTGCATATTATTACATGATGCCTGAAGTACACAGAAAGAATACAAGATCCCCTTATACATAACATAATATTTACATACTTAAAAATACAGACAATTTCATATGCATCAGTTTACTTTTGTAATGTGTGTGTTATCAATAGTTTCTCATGTTCAGTAATAGCCCCTACTATCAAAACATTTGTACTTCAGGTATGACAACTTGAAAGTTTTAGTTTTGTTTATTTCAATGTGTTTGGCTTTCAGATAAAAATTATGACAATATTTCCTTGTCAATTATATGTCTATATCTCTTTCAATAACTCATATGTCTGGCAGCAAATTTAAGTATTTTTGTAGTAAAATGTAAATTGTTGATATTTTTTCAAGTTCATTTCATTCTATTTAAGAATTAAAACCACAAAAATATTTCTTACATACATGTGGGTGATATAAAATATCTTTTATTAATGAAGTGGTATCTTTTAATTGGTTAACAAAAGAAAAGAAATGGCATGGTTCTTCTGAACTCCGCTATCCCTCATACATGATTTACTGACTTAAACACTCAAACTAAAAAAAATAATACCATATTCAATCATTTTACCATGAAATTCAGGTGATAAATTTGGCCCGAGAGCTTGGCATATAATTTGGGTTGTGCGCTGGAAAGTTTGCAGAATGAAGATCAAGAGCAACGGCAACACAGGTGATGCGACTCTGATGCTGACTGTGTCTACTACAACAACAAGTCTCCAACTGGCAACATGGAGCTCAAAGACATGAATGATGACATCACAACAAAGTGAGAGAGCCACTTTTCAATATATTATATATTCACCTGTACAGCCATCCATATGCAAATGATGGGAACCAACATACATGCCATAATCATAATCAGTACATTTTCTTTTTCGATGCTGTGTACCTTTCCATGTACTTAAAAAAAACGGAAAGAAAAACTAATGTTATTTGTATTATGAACTACAAACAAGTGCAATGAAGTTAAAATGACGCATGGAATTAGTGTTTCAATGAACACAAAAAGTAACTTATACTATTATTACGAACAATGTACTCTGTTGAAACACAATGTACCTTTATAATTAACTTCAGTAAACAGTGTTTGAAACCTTTTAATCATTTGAATAATGGCCATATAAATTTACTTCTCACAATGGATTGAGCTGGTGTGTTGCTAGTACAGCACACAATACACAGCAAAAATATGATACAAGTTTGTGTAATGTTTATACCCTTCTTGTATTTGAATGCTTAACTATTTGCGCAACTGATTTTCTCACATGTAAACTCCTGATAACAGTGGCGTATATTGAGTCTTGAAAATGGTGTGGGGGAGGAGGGGGGCACTGATGAGGGTGTGAAAGTGAGGTTGTGGGGCTCGATAATTAAGTGAGGGAAAGCTAGCTTCCAAAATAAGGTGATATGAGCTGGTTTTCTAACTATATGAGCATGATTTTTCATTGCTTTGAACATTTTCAATGGGGAGGGAGACATGACTGGGGGATCGAGCCACACCCCTCACACTTGTGCTAGGTGGTCTCACCTTTTCATATCCAGGTAGTAAATTGAACTGCTTCATTTCAAACAGGTTGCCATCGACAGCTAATGTTGAGATGCTTGACTCCGTCAATATCTTACTTGTGAACGCCGACAATGGCAGGCAGTTCTCCTCAATCCGTAGAACTTTTAACCTTGGACAACTTGCTAATGAATCAGACAAAGTTGATATCTGAAGGATAAGAAGTTTTATAGATAAACAATTTTGGATTCAAACTTTTAACCTTGGACAGCTTGCTAATGAATCAGACAAAGTTGATATCTGAAGGGAAGAAATTGTTATAGATAAACAATTTTGGATTCGGTATAAATATAATCTGATATGTGTTTAGATCATTACAGGACACAATAGCAAAGCTTATATAATATTTAATAACAATTTAATAACAATAATCATAGTTACTACTGTACTGGTTGGAATAAGTTTAATATAATAATATGTTTAACTCATACTTGATTTGTATTTTTACTGCTAGCTTAGAGTTATAAACAATGTTTTAATCTTTTTAATTTATTGCAGTCAGGTAGTCATCTGTTGTATAATGTTATGCCTTTTGTGCTGCTTGTTTTCTGTCACCATAATAAATTGTGCAATTATATTTCTGTGTTTGGCAAGGATCCCAATGGAAATAATTATTACTTTTTTGAGGCTATTCCTTGTAATTAGAGTCCTATCCTTATGCAACTTTTATCCTGTCAGTATTTTGTAAATTGTTTTTTAAGTAAGTAATTTAAGACTGATTACGAATAAATTCAATAATTCAATTTAATCAATCAATTAATCAATAAACATGTAATTTACATTACACTCTAACCATTTAAATGCATTTTACATCTAATCCAATCAAGGATAGAATGATCAGAATTTTTAGCTTTAATTAATTAATTTAACTATAGAAGAATAATATTTTAGGGAATCAACAAAAAATGTAATAGTTGGGTCATTGGCTTCAAGGATCCAAGAATGGTGCCAATAGACAAAAATAAATTGTCTTAAGGAGCACTGCAACAGTGGGGGGAACTGGCTCTAGGAATCCAATAATAGTGCCAACAGAAACTGCCAAACTGACATAACTACAGGTAATAAACTGGGTCATTGGCTTTACAACCAGGCTCCCGGAGGGGGAAAAAGTTGATATGTTGAATATTTCAAAACTAGGGGAAAAGGGGAATAGCCACCCTTTTCCCCCAACCTTTCCCCCCACCCCCAGTATTCAAATATTCAAAAATCTGTATCTCATCAAACACTCTTTGTGTGTCTTAGAAATATCAGTTGTACAACATATAAAAAAAAATCAAAAAAAAATCCTGGCTTTAAAGAGCTGGTTCTAAGGATCCAAAAATGATGCCAACAGAAACTGCCTAACTGACATCAATAAACGTAATATTTGGGTCATTGGTTTTAAGGAGCGCTTCAACAGTAAGGCAGAGGCTCTAAGGGTTCCAAGAATGGTGCCAACTGAAACCACCAAACAGATATTAACTAAACGTAATAGTTAGGTTGATAGGGAGTTTTCGATGCACGACGTAAACCTTAATGTTAACGGATGACGTCATAATTTATTCATCTTGCATTGAGGAGTATGTTAATTTCAGGATTTTACCTGCTCGACATACGTTAGTTACGGGTTTGCACATGCGTACTTCGATTTGTTTACAAAAGGGGCGGAGCTATTGCGCTGCATGTTCGGTATTAACGTTAAAGTTAAGGTTAATGTCGTGTGGCGAAAACTACATATTAGTTCTAAAGAACACTCAGTTCATTTTCATTTTCAGTTTATTTTTAAAACAATAAGATTTGCCATTGCAGCATTGCACTAAATGGTGGCAAACTAACAAAAAGATACACTGAATCCACAAACATTAAACAATCTACAAATTTACAAAAGTCACAACAAAGAAAATTAGTACAGTAGCAATAAATTCTAATTAAGTTTACAAAATTACAATATAATTTGATTCCTTAAAAAATAGATCATCAGAATTAAAAATAACTATACAAACTGAAATTTACACCGAAATAACATTGGGTCATTGGCTCTAAGAATCCAAGAATAGTGCCAATAGAAACTGCCAAACTTACATCAATAAAAACTAGAATTCATGGCCGATTTATCGTTATTGAAAATACACAGAATTTAATTGCCGGTCAATGTGTCAAGATTACGAGTAATCAGTCTGAATCAGAATCATAATTCAAGACAGAGTCTTGATCCAATTAGTATGCAGTGAAATCAAACTTGCCCTGTCAAAAGAATTTTGTGGCTTGAAACTGCAATTTGGAAACTACTATAAACTCTTCAAAATAGATCAGAAATTAAGAAATTAAATTGCTTCAGTGTTCTCAGAGGACATACAGAAAAGAGGCCAAAAGCTTGTTGAAGGTTTTGTTGTACTAGAAATTCTATGAATTTCAGGAATAAAATCATTAAAAGACCAACAGCAAATCACCCTCTCTATGGTCTGCTTCATATACTATGTAAAGACTCAAATTTTCATTTGTTTTTTTTAATTATTTTACAGGTTTCAGATTGTATGTACTATGAAAAATATATATATTATGTTTTATTTAAATCTGATCCTTAGTTTAGATTATTCATATGTGACAAGTATTATAAAAATAAAAACACAATGTATAAAGAAATAGTAGTACTAGTAGTAGTTTAGCAGTTATAACTAGAAGTAAATAATCCTGGAAATTAAAACAATAAAAAAAAAGAATAAAAATATTATAATAAGTTAAAATAATGTAGTTTTTATATTATTCCATAATATCGAGCCAATGTGTCCCATTATGTAGTCAATTTGCTTACGCCATGTGTCACTTGTTAAGCGCATCAAAGCTCCTGCGTTTTGCACTATCCAAATCCAACATTATATTTATCATTATGCTGCTAAAGTACAGAGGTAAAAAAGCACCTCATTGCTAGAAAGTACTTCTTTGATCTAGGGGTAATTGGATTATTTTTTTGATGACAGGAGCGAAGGCTGTGATAAGCAGAGAGGTTCAAGGAGTCAAGCTGTATGCAGTATGAATTGCAAGATTAACACCAAGACCTTTCTGACTCACCAACAATTGTACATTTCGAGAGGCTACAGGAATCCTGGTGCAAAGCACAATAATAACACAATAATAACGCAGTCACTACCAAGTCTGGAGCATTTCGTTCGAGCCTCAGCGCATGCAAGATCTCTTTCGACCTCTCAGACCAAAAATTCACACACAAACACAAATTTATACACAAGAAGTTTATTATTGTTTAAACCAATGTTCTATTTGTACTTTTTAATCTCAAAGCTTATTTGGATTGACATAATCTAAAGCTGAAATATTTCTCTAGCAAGTAATTACCTGCCTCCTAAAATTTAATTCCTGGCACAATTGTGAACAAAAAAGAGTTTTTAGGTTAACAGCCCTCTAGAAAGAAAACCGCAAGTAGCATACATATCACAGTACATTGTGTTACTGAGATCATATGTATTTCAATAAACATCCACTTCAAAAATAATTGTGAGCAAATATTTATGAATGTCTAGCAGAACAGTTTCAATTTTGTTTTTGTATAATTGTGACCAGAAATTTATAAAATTATCTCTCATCACAATCCTTGTTGAACAAAACCTCATCCATTTTCTCCTTTAAGATCAATAGAAGTGTGAAGCATGTCCTACGAAACATTCCTAGCTAATTCTAGCCATCAATTTCTATCGCAACACATTAAAAGTTGAAGTTTTTCTCCCCTGTTACCATTGTTTTGAAATAATGAGATAAATTTGTACTGGACTTGGCCGTAATTGAAAACTGCCAAACGCAAATTAAAAGAGGAAATAACCGATACTATAAAAGTATATTGGTAGGCCTATCTGTGAAGGGACCTTACATGACTCTAGTATTCTCAGCAAGTATTTATGGCATTTCGTACAAATAACGTTACTAGCATTGTTTAAATCAGTAGCGATAACGCTTTAAAGATGTTTGATATCTAGATTAATGTCAGAAGTATATATAAATAATCAAGATATATGCCACTTGATTGAACTTAGAACTGTTAACAATTTAAAGATATAATAAAGTAGTTCATAAACACTTTTATGAATAGACATATGTAATTCCAAACATACCGAAGAAATAAAAACAGCATGCCGCATTTGTGATTTAGCATCCAGCACCTCACAAAGGCTCTTCAAAATCATCCAGAGTAATAAATAATCTGCTTCAGCTTTAACAATGTAAACCAATTCACCAACTTGTTAAAAGTTTCTAAGAAAATTGGGTATTTAGCACGCTTATGACAATACCAAAGCCACATGAATTTCAGGCATGGTACAGAATTGGTATCAGGAGAGCAGGGTGCAAGATAGGCACTCTCCCATGGGTGTATCAAAACACTTAAGATCTTAATATCAAAAAGATTTCTTTGAGACTCAACACTAACATAAAAAGAAAATTATTATAAATATTATAAATATACTGTACAACAATATTAATAATGGTTGACTTATAGAGTGCATATTGTGGAGATCTCTGTGCTTAGATTTATATTCAGCTTTATACTGAAAATAAAAATAGTTTAGCACAAGATCCTAAAGGCCTACTTAAAACTTCAATACTTTATTATTTCTTATATCCTCTATGGTGTTGTCAGAGGGCAGTAGAGCTACAATAAGAGAAATGTCAAAATATATGGGACATTTATTACCATGATAGTTAAGATGAAAAATAATACCTATGTACAACAGGTGTAATGTGTATGTGTATGTGTAGTTGAGTTTGTTTAACATGTACTCAATATCATGTTATCCTCTAGTTACTTTTTTATGTTCCATTTATTCACAACTCCAATGTTCAACAAAATCCTATGTATATGTATACAGTCAATAAAGATGGATCACGAAAAAAAAATGAGCAAAAAAAATGAGCATAAGAATACTAAGAGGGGATGGAGAACACCCCTTCCTCATGTTGCAATAGAAATAATAGCGCCAAAAACAATGAAGCAGTAATGCCCATAATGAATAAACTTTCATAATGCACCAAATTTCACCAATGAGTACTAATTTAAGTATTTAATAAGCATTATGTATTTATAAAAACAATAAAGCTAACTAGTAGAAGCCATCTGTAACATTTTTTATTTTTAATTTAATACTGTCTCAGCAAATCAACCCATA